GGGGGGGGGGGGTGTGCTACGGCCCTGCCTTGTTGCTAGCCATTGCACTAAGGAAAGGCCATAACCCAGAAAACCTTCACAATAGCCTGTTTGGCTATTGTGAAGTACAGTACAATACATCATGTCAGGCTCTCTGTGCTTGAAATAGAGCCTGCTACTGAAGTCAATAAAAAGTACTAACTGTATGCAAAATTTCCATTGGAATGGGAATTTACAGAAATAAATAGCTTTGCCTTTTAAGGTAATATCAAGTTGTTGTTTACATAATATGACATTCCCAGGGCTCAAAGTAGAGAAAAATATGGCCTGCCAGTCTAAAATTTTTTGGCAGATGAAATAAATTTTAGCCTGCCATTTTTATCCATTTAACTGCCAAAATGGCAATGTCTTATATAAGTCATATTGTAAAAATCAATGTTTTCAGGATTGGCATTTTTATTATTTATAAACTTACTACTTTACTCTATTTTACTCCAGTAAACTTAGTAGTAATATTTCAAATATAAAGGTATTTAGTCACCTAAATTATCTAGTATATGAGTTGTGGTAAGCAAATGAAATGAAATGTATCTATAGAATTTTACCTGCCATTTTTTTTTTAACTTGGCAGTTCAAATTTGTTTTTGCCTGCCATTTCTAAAATATGGCCTGCTTTTGGCCATTGGGACTTTGGCAGCCCGCTATTTTGAGCCCTGGATATTCAGTACTTGTAATTGTACATTTGGATGCATTAATTACTGCTTTTGCTGTCTATAAACATGGTCAATAACCATTACTACTTGGCTTTGTCTATGATTTTGGCATAACCATTGCAAATAATTATGCAATGATGTCGCCATGAGGGGCATTCACCAGATATCCAGGGGGGGGGGGTGAATGCCTCTCATAAGTACACTGGCTAGGAACATGGCAAGCAGGGCCGGATTAAAGTTTTGCTGGACCTGTGGTATATTATTAGTGAGGGTCCCTTTGACCCCCCCCCCCCCGCAAGGCATTTTAACCCATCGAGCCGCAATGCGCCCCAGTGTGCCCTACTTATTTTTTTACTTGTCTAACACCAGATGATTCTACTTGTCACTGGGGAAGCTCTGCAGCTTAATGGTTAAACACTGAATTCATAAAGTTTCAAAAATATAATAATATCCTTTTCGTATTCTATGTGTTGAAAAGTTGCCTCTGTATTTAAAAATATATATATATATATATATATATATATATATATATATATATATATATATATATATATATATATATATATATATATATATATACATGAATATAAATTTGAAATAAAATTCAACCTAGTTTAACTTAACCCAACCAGCACATTGTATAATCAGCAATAATAATACCATATGACACATTGCATTATATAATACATTGTAATTGAAATACTTAGACTTTAAAGCAAGTAATAACCTAACAATATGCATCTACTGAGCATTATGCTTGTTTGCATAGGCGCTGCTCTTCCGAAACAGGAAATAAAATATTCGAAAAGAATAAGCATGGGGGCCCCTGAAAAGGGCCAGGCCTGTGGCATATGCCGCCTCCGCCATCGGGTTAATCCAGCACTGATGGCAAGTGCATTTTGATGAATCATTGCAAATCATGGCTGTGGTTAAGTTTTTTGGCTGAGTCGGCTTTCTGTAGCTAAATGTGATTATGCATGGTGTGGCGGCAGTTACTGGTTCTCGCCGAGTTGGATCTCTGCGAGGTATATGCTTTGTGCCCAGGGGCCGATTGTTCAAAAGCCGGTTAGCTCGATCCTAGGTTAATGAAAAGCTTCAAAGTAAGATTTTTATTAATATAAAACATGGAAATAATTTTCCAGAAATTTTGCCTGGATCAATAGAAGTACTATTCTCTAAAGGTTTGAAATAAATGGATTTACAGACGCCCCAGGGGATTAATTTCGAGTCAAATCCCGTTTTATGCCCAAGGGTAATATTTTGTCACATTTTTTACACATCCTATTGAGCACTGACTACTGTATACCTTGTTATAAATATTGCTTATATTCTCTCTGGCAATGGAGGAAGGATTCTTCACAGCTTCCTTATACCAATACAAAGCCATCGACTCGTCTTGTTTCAGCCCGCCTCGACCAGTTTCATACATCTGTGCCAAAGCAACCTGGGCGATGCCATGACCGTTTTCCGCAGAAGCTTCGAACAATTTCCTCGCTTTTATCTCGTCAGGTTTAATTCGTTCGCCTTTAACGTCCGCAAACCATAAACCGTATTGGTACTGTGCCATCGGATGACCAGCTTTGCACGCTTTCTCGTAAAAACGACGTGCCGTCTCGTAGTCGTGATGGACAAACTCAAGCAACTGTGCCTGATTGAATTCTTTCTGCCCCGCAAACATTGATCTCGGTTTGGTCTTTGCTATTTTCTTAGGTTCCTCCATAATTTGTCGACTTGTAAAGACTTTAAACACTCGCCAAAGGATAGGTAAGCAAGTGTTTAGAAGACGTTATAAAATAATCAAATTTCTCCAGGTGAAATTCGGCGCTTTAATTTGTTGCTGTTGTACCGTTGGCTTTGAAGTTTGAACAACACGTGTTTATATATGCCCGTGATTTCTTGAGGAAATGACGTTTCCGGAACACGCGCACGCTGTATAAAATTAGCGACTTTAAGATAACCGACTACGGACTACAGACTACGGTTAAAAATCGGCGCATGGACTGGGTCGAGTACTGTCACCATCTACCGCGCGCGGGAACTTTAAGATAGAACAACACGAATACAGCTACGGTTAAGTTCTGTTCTCCTTGTATACAAAGTAAAAAAATCTTTTAAACAAAATGCCATCATTCCAAGAAGTGTGCGATGCCTTGATAATTGCTCTGGCTGATGAAATTATAAGCGAAGAGGAATTTGTTGTTTTATTTGCACAGTACAAACCTCAAAATCCAGAATTTCCTTACTGGACATACGATGGGTTCGATTTTGAAAATTTGGATCCCCATGAATGCAAAGCGGAATTCAGGTTTGAAAAACATGACCTGCCTCTTTTAAAGCAATCGCTTCGTATTCCAGACAGATTTGTTTGTCCTCAAGGAACTGTTTGTAGTGGAATGGAAGGCTTGTGTATTTTGTTGAAAAGACTAAATTACCCTTGCCGTTACTTAGATATGATTCACAGTTTTGGTCGTCCTGTTCCAGAATTATGCATGATCACTAACACCGTCCTCGACTGGGTATACACAACACATGGCTATCGACTTACATCATGGAACCAACCATTTCTTTCGAGAGAGTGCCTTGAGAGTTATGCAATAGCAATTGCTAGAAAAGGTGCACCCCTCAGGAACTGTTTTGGTTTTGTTGATGGAACAGTTCGACAGATCTGTCGTCCAGGGAAGAACCAACGGGTGGTATATAACGGCCATAAGAGAGTACATGCCCTCAAGTTTCAGGCTGTCGCTTTACCTAATGGTATTGTTGCTAATTTGTTTGGTCCGGTCGAAGGTCGGCGTCATGATGCAGGCATGCTCAAAGATTCAAGTGTTCTTGCTGCCTTGCAACAAGTGGCATACAATCCAGCTGGTGATGTTTTATGCATTTATGGGGACCCAGCCTATCCCCTTCGCCCGCAGCTGATGTGTCCATACAAAGTAGGTGATGTACAGGTGCTTACCCCTCAAATGAGAGCCTTCAACAAAGCCATGAATGAGGTACGAGTTTCGGTGGAATGGCTATTTGGGGATATTTCCAACTATTTTAAGTTTATAGACTACAAGAAAAACCTCAAAATACATTTGAGTGCAGTTGGTAAGCAGTACCTTGTTAGTGCACTCATGAGAAATATATTAACTTGTTTTTATGGAAATATGACATCAGACTATTTTGATATTGCACCACCAACAGTTGATGAATACCTGTCTTGAACTGATGTTTTAATTAATCATCAAGCCACTGACAATACATCCTAAGGTTAAACTTATCAGGGGTGGACCATTAGTGTAACACATTTGCAGGATATGAAAACCTGAAACAACATAACATTAAAAACAAGAAATATCATAACTCAGTAGCAAAGTCATGCAGCCATGGAAACCAGTCATGCTACACTATTAATAACAAACGAATCATTTTAATCTTATAGGTTTGAATAGTGCAAATAATGAAAAATTTGCATAGCATGACCACTTGCTATGGCTACCTTTGCCACTGGAATGAATTTTTTACTCTACAAAATGCAACAATTAACTAGAATGTTGTAAAATAAATAGGAAATGTCATAAATATGAGTCAGAATATAATCAAAGCTGTTCATTATTTTATGTCAACAAGATGTTACTTGGCAACCTTTTCTAACACAGCCAGCATTGCTGCCTGCATCTGCATTTGCATCTGCATTTGCATCTGCTGCTGTTGTTGCTGTAAATTAAATTGTTTTTGTTGATTTTCTAGAAGCTGATTCATTTTTTGCTGCTGTGATATCAGCTCATCTTGTTTCTGCTGCTGTTTTTTCTCTCTGGCATCAAACTTTTGTTGTTCAAGCATAGCCTGTTGTTTCCGAAGTTCCATTTCCTGCTGTTGAACTAACATAGACTGCTCGGATCGCATTCTTAAATACTCAAAAGCATCACCACTGCTCTTTCTTTTTCTTTGTTTTCTTCGTTTAGTCTGTTTAGTCTTATTGCTCTCTTCACTACTTCCATCTGACTCATCTTCACTTGATCCCAATCTTTCTTTGCTCTTACCCCATGTATGCATAGCTGCATCCCTCACTGACAAAGCCTTTGCTCTTTCATCTTTTTCATGTTTGTTTTTATCAGTATGAACAGTGTTTAACATAATTTCAGAAATTTCTTCAAGAAGGATTTCAATTTCTGTTGGTGGATCTGGGCTAATACCACTTGCATTCAATTCTGCCCTTGTTTTTGACCAAAACTCTCCCATTAATTTATTAAACCTTTCACGTACAGCTCGTTGATCTCTTGGCATATCTTTGAATCCCTCATATGTATTGACCAATTTTGCAGTCTCGGTCCATCCTTGCCCAGCCTGTTTGCTGCCACCCTTCCATATATACGGTTCCACCACACGAACTTCTCTTAGAAGTATTTTGTCTTTGGCATCATCCCAGCGAAATGTGCCACTAAATGGAAAAGTATAAAATATAATATCTAAATGTTTTTGTTTTAATGTTAAAAGCTGGGCTGAATACTTGGCCAACACTAAGGTGGATTAACCCTAAGGTGGATTACTAAGGTGGATTAACCCTAAACCTTAGTTGAAATTTGATCTGCTGTTTTAGTTTATGTATTTCTGCACATCTTTTTATTTCAAAACTTCAGATAAAACAACTCCTACTGATTCAGAAAAGATCTCTGAAGAAATATTTCAAAATTTGTAGACAATATCTTGGGAAGATTGCTTTGAATTTTAAGTTAACCTGGTGTTTAATAAGCTACATGTAGATTTAATTGCCATCAAAATGAGATAAAAACTGAATTGTTCATATATTAATTAGTTATTTATTCTTTTTGATATCTAAACTTTCTAATGCTTCATATAATGACATAATCACTTTAATCAGTATAAACATATTAAACAAACACTGTCTTTATATAAAATCATACAAATCAAGACGAAATGGTTTCAATAGAAAACAATAGAATATCCTTGTAAAAGAATTACAAATTTAAACTCCATTCAAATTATGCGTTAACCCACACGACTTACTTGTTTCTTGTAGCAGTATTTTTCGTGCTGACAAAAGATATAAAGGCAAACAATGAGCCAAGTGAATAACAAAGTGAACAAAACATAATTAAATACAAAACTATAAATATCTCTGACACTGACTATTAAATGCACTTTTTTAGTGAATTCTAAATTGTACTTACTTTACTAATTCACAACAAGATTTATCCGAGGATTTATCTCCCATTTTACTGTATTAAATCCAGCTTTTCTCTAAAATAATATAAACAGCTAAACATTTGGATTCACCAGGACATTCTTCGTTTTACAATAAACACAAACACGTGAATTATATTTCATGCCATGATTTATGCGTGCCGTTTTGCACGCATGCATATTCAAATATTGGGAGGCAAAATTCGTCACAATCTTCAATCTACAAAGCCTTATAAGAGTCATGAAACGTCTACAATGCCGTATTTCTATTAAAAGTATTTAATTCTAAACTTACCAGCTAAAAATTTGAGGAAAACCTTTACCGTAGTCGACACTACGAAAAACAGCCCTGATATTCACCGTCGCAACGTGACTATGGTGGGAAAAAAGCAGTTTAGTGACTCGACCCAGTTCTCCAACCTGTTCCCGTGCGTAGTCTGTAGTCCGTAGTCGGTTATCTTAAAGTCGCTA